ATATTTTTGTCGGTCACGATAGTCACTGTGTCAGATTACACGATTTTGACTCCTAAAATCTTGTCATGTCGTGGACAAGAAACATTTCAGATTCAAGCGGCAACCTCCCACTCTCTCTTGTGAAGCCAACATGAAGTGACTTAAACTGTAATTCATCAACTGGCCTCTAGAGGCTGGCTGCAAAAGGGAGTCACGGACACTACATCCATGTTTTTATACAGTCTATGGTCAGACTACACGTTGCTTCCCGACCATTCATCTTTAACGACGCGCGTGATGTCATCGAGAAGGCGGAATTCGCATTTTTCTTTCTTTGTTCTGTCGTGGTAGTCCCTGGATGACACATCATACAGGCAGGAGTACTGTTGCCACAGCTCCACGAACCTTTCCTCCATCTCATAATTCCACCTAGCAGCACCATCATCTCTCTTTCGTTTTGCCATGTTTGAAACCTGTGTATGAAAGAGCTTCTGTGCTGCTATTGGTCAACGTCACCAATGTGACAGAACTCGTCGTGGACGACGGAAAAAAAATTAAACATGCTAGTCTTTCTGTCGTGAAGCATCGCAGACGCGGAATCGGTTGTCGTCCACTATGACACACTACACGAGCTGAAACGATGGAATCTTGCGTCCCGACGCCCATTGTCCTTTACGAATCCCCACGACACCCTACGTCAAGCAAATCGTGGCAAAATCGGGCTAAAATAGTGTAGTCTGAACCGGGCATAACGTGCATTTGTGTGGACGCTAAAGGCCCGTTTACACTAAATACGAAAGAGATAAAGTTTAAAAAGTCGTTCTTTAAATGCGCAGCAGACAACAGAAACAGCGCCTGCCTATAATAAACAGAACGTTATGCATTAGTGTGGACGCGAACTATCGTTCTTGAGGTGAACGGGCCTTTAGTCCTGCTGGTAACTCCACCATAATGGGAGGAAAAGGTAAAACATTTTTATTAATTGATGCCAGTCAAAATGTGCTGTGTATTCTAATAAAATGATATCTTTGAAAGCGTCCATAATGTGCTAAACTCTCGTTTCTTCCCATGACAGGTGACGCTGGAGGAGTTTGTGAACTATTACAGCGGAGTCAGTGCTTCTGTCGACAGCGATGAGTATTTCATCACCATGATGAAGAACGCATGGAAGCTGTAGTCATCACCATCATCAGCGCTCAGAAATCAGTTTCGACGCATTCGATTTGTCATTACAAAATGTTACTGAAATGGTGTCGTTTGCACGATATTTACTTGTTGAAATAGTGTCTAATTAAACTTCTTTGGTTTCCACATCCTGCTTTGTTTCACACGCTGCTAGACGAAAGGAACGCATGTGAATCTTGACCGGGACGCGAGTAAACAGCGTGACAGCTGTCAAAACCCGGGCTTGTAAGACATCAGTTTCCAAAGAGCGTCATTGACAAACATTCCTCAATCACTTGATAAATCGCAGCAGCTGTTTAGGCTGCAAACTGGTGCTTCTATTGATTTGATGCAGTTTTTGTGATTGCGAGCGCCTGTGTTTGCTGCGCCATCTGCTGAACATGAACATCATCACACATGTCCTATCCAAATTAACCAAAATAACTAACAATCTCAAGTTTGGGACAGCAAGATTTTTCTTAATACATTTATTCATCAAGGACGCAATAAGTTGATCAAAAGTGACAGTAAATACGTTATAATGTTACAAAAGGTTTCTATTTCAAATAAATGCTGTTCTTTTGAACTTTCTATTCAAAGAAGGATCATCAAAGAATCCTGAAAAATAAAATGTAGCAGTTTTCACAAAAATATGAAGCAGCACAACTGTTGTCAACATTGATAATCAGAAATATTTCTTGAGCAGCAAATCAGCATATTAGAATGATTTCTGAAGGATCATGTGACACTGAAGCCTGGAGTAATTCAGCTTTGATCACAGGAATAAATTACACTGTAAAATATACTTAAGTGAAAAAGAGTTATTTTAAATTCTAATAATATTTCACTGTATTTTTGATCAAATGCAGCACTGGTGAACAGAAGAGTCTAATTCCAAAAACATTCAGATTCATCCACAATTAAAAAATTCGAGAAAATGGATTATTCCTGGTGAGAAACTGAAGTAGAGGCCCACGTTTTGACATGACAAATTTTTATTTCAAATGTTTCATCTTTTTTTTACCTTCGATATTACTATTTATTTTGTAAAGGAGTTCGGAGACATGGTGTGCTAGTAAGCGATAATATACGCATAGAAATTTACAGAACATTCAAGGGTACACGGTTTTTTTTTTGTCCTTTTCTTTTTCCTGTCTAAATGCACTCAAACTTCCGACACACGAAGGAAATCTTCATTTTCTGACAGATCGTCTCCAAACGACATGAAAATGGATAAAAAGTTAATATAGCAAATCGATATAAAAAAAAAAAGGCCAACACAATACAAACCCTCAGAATATGGAAAATAAAAACAAATTCCGAGATGCTGCTTTAAATGTTAAATTCTCATCAGATTAACTAAAAAAAAAACAAAAGAAAGAAAAAGAAATGTTAAACATTATCTGCCCCTAAACGAAGCTACACAACTCAGTTTGATGTTTCAAGGGATGTTGGGGTGAAGATATTTTTCTCTTTTACAGGGGGCAGATGTAGAAACAGATTCACTACAGCACGAGTCCGTGTGACCGTTAAGTCCTTTATTCGTTAACACCAATGAGAAATCTAACTATCTTAGCAGACTAGTAAGAGTGTCAGCTTGTCTTAGAAAGTGAGCATATCCAGGAGACGCTCAGTGAAGCTGGCAGAAATCAGCTGGGGAAAATGGTACAACTACATGGAACACAGCAGAGGTCAGGTGACCGTGGAGCTTCCAGCCAGCCGATTGGCCGATAAGCGCAATGATGCAGCGAGGTCACGATGAAGCCGAGAGCCAATGAAAAGAGAGCGAGATAGAGACAGAATGAGTAAAAAAAAAACGGTCCCACGGTAGAAACTGCAGTCTTGATGAGCCACGTCTTAAACGGAGAGAGAGAAACACCCTCACGCTCATCAATATGATGAGCGACCAAGTCCGATGCCATACATGGAAAAGTCTGTTTTTTTTTTTTCCTTTTTCTTTTTTGTTGTCTTTTTAATTTGTTTGTTTATTTGCAGTCCAAGTGAAAAAAAAAAAAAAAACTAAAAACAAACAAAATGATAAAAAAAAAAAAAAAAAAAACAAAATGAGAGTTTTATTTACAATAAATGTTGGAGGGGAAAATGAACTACAGAAGTTTGGGTGAGAGAGACTCCGCTCCAGGGGTCCACGGCTCCGGTCCGAGGGGGCCGTGCCGGGCTGGGCTGTCCGCAGAGATGCCTGCGCTAAAAACCCCGGTGGGCGGCTGTGGGTCGGGCAGAGGGTTGGGATGCTATGTGCTCTCGGCCGCTGGGGTCTCGCTGCTCTCACAGTTACCTGGAAGAAAACAAGTCAATGTTAACGCAGAAAATATACTAGAAAACAACAGGCTGAGCAATGCAATCATACCTTATCAGTTAGCAGTCAATATAAGGTATTTTTTAATTACTCAATATTTGCGATATTAATAATACTCATCAAATTCACAGGTCTCATTTATAAAACTACACTGAAAAAAAAAAAAAAGGTAACATCTACATTAACTGGTTTTATTCAAGTCAAAAAAAAATGTAACATCGGTGAATCCACCTAAATACATAGATAGATTTGTGAGTTAAATCAGGTAGAAATAATATTTTAAAGTAAAAACTGCTGGTTACCAGCAATCATTTTGCATTAGTTAAAATGAACCAATGAGTAATACACTTTTTACAGCATTTATTAACCTTTAAAATAAAAGTCTAATTGTTCATTAAGTCACAGTGCATGTTACAACTTTTGATTTGAAAAATGAACACTAAAGATAATATATGGTGCATATATATATATATTCATTGTTAGTTCAAGTTAACTAACGTACTGTATTTAACTAATGTTAACAAATAAAACCATATTATAATGTGAAAGCAGTCTACAGATTTTAAAATAAACAGTTGTTTGCATTTCATAATGTATTATTGTAAATTATTGTATTATAAAACAGCATAAAATACTGATTTGAGTTTTTAGCAGTCATCAAATTATCATTGGGATACAACTATAGTAAGTTTTTATTTTTATGTATTTTTTGTTTTAATTTCAGTTTTAGTATATTTTTGTGTTAGTCATGTATTTATACTTGTAAAAAAGTATTTCAGTACATCAAGTTTAGTGCGTCAAGAAAATAAGAAATGTTGCCTTGGCAGCTAGCTGAAACAGAACATCATGATGTCAGTGTTTATAATATCTTAACTTCATGCCTTATAGTCACATTTAGCAGATCAGAGCTAGGTGATATAGTTTACATTTTGCGACAAACAAAGCAATCAAGATTTGCTATGCAACATATTGCTTTACAACCCTCTACGGACACCTTGGCAATTGAATCGCCACTGGCTAGTATATTTTTTTTTGTTTACTCGCCAGACTGAAATACTATACTATACTAAT